CACAGTTTGTGAGTTCGAGCCCCACGTTGGGCTCTGTGCTGACAGCTCAGAGCCTGGACCCTGCTTCGGATTCTGTGTCTCCCTCTCTCTTTGCCCCTCCACTGCTTGCACACGGTCTCTCTCTCTCTCAAAAATAAATAAACATTAAAAAAAATAATACAAAAATGTTAAAAATTTTTTAAATAATTGTTTTAAAAATTGTATTGACAGGTACATTAGAATTAATATTTTTCTTTTTCCACTTTCTGAGTGTATTGGGTTAAAGTGTAACTAGTATCAGGGTTCCTGGGTGGCTCAGTCGGTTGAGCGTCTGACTCTAGCTCAGGTCATGGTCTCACTGTCCATGAATTCGGGCCCCACGTCAGGCTCTGTGCTGACTGCTCAGAGCCTGGAGCCTGTTTTGGATTCTGTGTCCCTCTCTCTCTGCCCCTCCCCCACTCATGCTCGCTCTCTCTCTCTCTCTCTCTGTCAAAAATAAACATTAAAAAAAAATTTTAAGTGTGACTAGTATCATTAATAGTCATCTGATAACTTTTAGTAAAGGTTTTTCGATATTATTCTCAGAAACTGAGAAAGTAAATTACCCCTAATGACTGTTTAACAAATCTTTTTCTAAGTAGGTTGTTTCCAATTCTTTGCTTTCAACAACACTGAAGAAAGACCTAATCAAGTTAACAGTTGACAAGAGATGAAAAACATTTTTATAATAAATCAATATATAATTCTGGCATGTTGCTTGAAAGGAATTCATAGAACGGAGTGACAATGCTGTAGTAAAACACCTTCTGTTCCCACCTACAATTTTATGTGAACAAGTGTTCCCAGCATTTCCACCTATAAAAATGTAAAAGAGAAACAGAATTTATGCTGAACCTTGCTTATTTCTAGCAATAAGCAATATATATTCACGTGTGTAAACAAAGAATTCCACGTATCTCATAGAAACATGTATTTCCAATAAAACTCTATTCTTTATGCTTAGTAAGTATTTATAAAAATTTATAATACATTTATGTGGTTTGGGTTTTGATCAGTTGTGTACTAAAAGTAATTGTAATGACAAGTCAATCTAGAAAGAATACTTTACCACTTCAAAGCCTCTGGCCATAGAAAATTTAGAAAAATAATTTCCATTTACATACATATTTAATGTAGAGAAGACTTTCAAGCATAACAACACTTTCTATTAGGATGGAGTCCTATGAGGGACGTGGAAGAGAAACATGACTTCAAGGAGTAAAGGGAATGATGCAAAACTTCCAACAGTTAAAGACGTCGTGGGTTCTTTCAAATGAACGACTGGAGGTATCGATCGCAAGAGCATTTTAGATTCCTTTAGCTACACGTAAAAGCCTCAGGGGACGATTTCATTTTGCTCTCTTTGGTCTTTAATCTCAATATTTTGAATCCTGTCCTTTGCAGTTACTTAGTGTACAATTTCACATGCCAACTTAACAGTGAACAAGGACGAATGTCATTTTTCAAAATCTTTCAGGGGCTATCCAAGAAAAATAGCTTGAAAACCAATGGTGTAGGATGTGGTGATCCTTGCCTTCAGAAAGTTTACAGTCTGACTCCGGAGATAAGTCTGACATACAGACTTATGGGAAACAACCAGAGGAAAACAATACCATGCCAAGCTTTCTTAAATTAACTAACTTTAGGAATAGACATCCTACGGGGGGGGGAAAAAATCTGTGTGCCCCAGAGTAGTCAGAACATGCCTCAAATAGGAAGTAAAATTTGAACAAGCCTTTGAAGGATGGCTGGGATCCT